CCTGCAGTTGCTGCAACATTACGGCCGCGCTTCAGTCGCCGACTTTGTACGAGCGAGCAGCCGGCCGAATACATCAAGCAGTGGAAGCCAACGCAGCGGCAACACGCTTGCTAACTCGTCTGGCGCAGGAGGCAGCAACAGCCAATAATGAAAGATTTCTGCTGACCCTGATCCGCTACGAGTACAAGCATGGCTCAATGGAAGTGAGACCGGCGAACGAAGAAGCCAGCGTCCACGCAAGTTTTTCGATGAAAAAAGCACGGCATTACAAATGTTTGATATCACGTTACACTGTGCCAAGCGCATGCTTTGGTTGGAAAAATTTACGGGTAAGCAGGGGAAAGGAACTCCATCCTTCCAGGACTTCCTTGATGAGTCCACCCTGCGTTTTGACCATGAGGATGACCACATGAAAATTAGATATTTAAAAGCCCATTTGATAGAATTGGTGCTAGATGCGTTTTTGGGCATTTCGGAAAATATCAGAAAAAAGGGACTTTTGATAAAGCAGTCGAGAAACTGTGGGATGCTGTAGTAGATCGATCCAAAAGTACTCGCATACGCTTGCAAAATGAGTTAGCCAGCATAAAATGGAAGGAGGGCCAACCACTGTTGGAATTTTTTACATATTTGCAGCGTAAAGCTGCGAGGGCCTACCCTTCAAACATTTACACTGATTCGAAATTTTTGGATGAAAGGAAGTGTAGCTTGACACCCAAGCATTGGGTAGAGATATGCAACTGACAGCACTCATATTTGCAGCACTAAATTCCGCACCCCTTGGTGAAATGTACCCCGTTCTAAGAGAAGCAGCGCTCGATTATGAACGAGTCCTTGAAAGTACGAAAAAGGCAGGGGAAAAATATAGTCCACGGCAATACAGTAAGCATTCAACTAGACGTTGGAACACTGAAAATAGGGGTAGTCGGAGCTACAGACTGGATCGGCGTGCTGATCAGGATAGCTTTCGGTCAAATAGGCTAGAAAACAGCAGTGAAAGCAAGCACCCCGTTCTGCCAATCAATAGGACACAAGAACATAAACGGAACAACTGGAGTATAGACGAGGCAACCGCCAGTTTTAGTAATGCGGGGTATAAGCATAACAGAGCTCCACAGATGGGCCGAAAACGGGAAGAACAAACCACAATTTGCGCGGTTTGCAGAGGTAAAAGCCATGTTGCCAGAGTTTGCTTTTCTCGCGCTGTGGAAGAAGTCTCCGTGCAAGGTCCGGAGAAATGTGGTGATCTGATTACACTCAGGTTAAATAAAGTGTCAGAAGCTCAATTCCCCGAGCCAGTTGATAAAATCGTAGGAGGCCGAGTGGCTGTAGCTGTCCTTTATGATGGAATAGGAACGACCGCTTTATTGGATACAGGGGCAATGGTTAACCTCATTACAGCGGCCGCCGTCCGAAAATTGAAACAGAAATGGGGTGAGAGTTATTTGAGCTCTAGAATTACTGAGACAAATCTGGGCCCTGTTTGCGACAGGTCAGGAAATACTGTGATAACATGCGGACGTGTGATTATAAAGGTCAAATGGCTTAATGGGGAGAAAGATGTGGCGTGTTTTATCCACGAGAACTGCAAGGGAAACGATGATTAGATTTTGGGCACCATTGCCCCAGCTTCATCGAAAAAGTGGGGTGGAGAGATACTGCGATTGCTCGGTCAGATGCAACAAAGTGCCCTATGTGCAGAAGGGCTGTTGATACCGCCGTACTCAAGGCGTGTGGTGAAAGCCATTCC